ACGGTCAATAGGATTGTCCTATCACGGATAAAACTAATTCGTGATCATTTCGACGATCATTAATTAATTGCAGCACCGACTTGATGAAGTTTTTAATAGTTGACTCGGACATYCTCAGATATTTTTCAGAGAATTAATTTKAAAAATAAAAAGATTTTTGTATACATTTAATGCTTACATTTTAAAAGTTATCTTTTTTTTTACTAAATTTCCGAGTTACAGATAATGCTTTGGAAAACAAWTTTAAAATTCTAGTAGGGGGCAAATGACCCCCTGGAGTCACCAATGACTGGTCTACAAAAGAATATAGGTATATAGTATTTTAAATAGTAYCTAAATAGGCCGTCAGTTGAGCCCCTCTCCCAATTATTTAAGTCTATGGATATGTAGTATAGGTAGATAATAATTTACGAAATTTCGGTTTAAGCGCAGAAACGCGTCGGTMAAAATATTCTATAATTGCTCAATCGGATCGTTATTAAGAAGGCCAATCCACAGTCGTCGAGTTGCGTTCGATCATGTTTTACCGACTCGCACCTGCAGAGTTCGACTTCTTCCAAGTCCTGCAACATTGTACACGACCGACGGCGTACAAGTCGGACGTCGCATACAAGACTACAGCCGCACTTGTTGTTTACCTGGCACGTGAGCCGCGTCCGGTTCCGGCGGCTCTGGTTGACCGCGTTGATCAGGAACCAGTTGAGCACGGCCAGCACCAGCAGCGGTACGCATATGAACGTGACGATGCAAAACCAGTTGTACGCCTTCTTGTAGATGTCGTTCCGGCCTAGTTCCGTGCTGCTCTTCTGGAACTTGCCGGTGGCCGGGTTGATGGCTATGTGCCACTCGTGCGGCGTGGTGGCCGTGCACGCGATGCAGAACAGCGCCACCATCAGGATGACACGCTTGGCCCGGGACTCGGTGCACAACACTCGTCCGCGTAGAGGATGGCACACGGCTATGTACCGTTCGACGGTGAACGACACCGTTAACAGCACCGACGTGTTACCTGCGAACAAGGGTCACGTGATCAGGTGGTTAAAAATGTAAAAAACAAATTTTAGAGAACCCGGTAGGTGGTTTTCTCACACCCGATTGTATTTTGATATTGTTAAGAAATTACAGCTACTCCAGTGCTCACGTCATATTCTATACACCACCGGTCCTCACTTGGATTTTAGAAAGAGTCAAATA